GGACATCCCCATGGCTTCGTGGCCGCACCGCCACGAGTCCTCGGACATGCCTCGCCAAGCCACCCGACCCCCGTCGAGCCTTGGCTCATGCCCTACACTCTACCCGCCATCATTGTTGCCACTATACGCATCGCCGTCTCCATTGCCTTCGTTGCACCCTTGACCCCCACCAGCCTCGGTTGTATCACCCCTATAGCCCTCGGTTGTGGCCATGCCTCCCGCGAGATGTGATCTCGGGAGAGAAACATCGGCTTGGGAAAATTCTACATAAACCAAATTGGCTAGTTCTGGAACCCTTAAAAGGTGGCTTGGCCTGTTGTGGAAAACATAGGGTGCCCCACAAATCTACGAACACCTCCCAATAGGACGTGTTGGTGGGATGCACCTAGAGGTGTTTTAGGGTCGGCAAGGCCACCTATAACATGTACAAATCTCATCGTGAAACTTATAGAATAGTAGGATAAAAAGGTTGGAAGAGTTTACGGTAAGAGATGTTTGTAAAAAAGTGTATGTATTGGTTTTGGTCTTTTGGAATGTTTGGGTCATCTAAATCGGCCTTCATATTTATAGGTGAGGTGGTTTTATCTTTTCATAAAATGCTTACAACTTCTTACGTTCAAAAAAAATGTTTACAACTTCTAAATCTACACAAATCTTAACCTCCTCTTAAGTTTTAACAAAAAAAAAACCGGCGTAATTGGTTTGGCCAAAGTCGGTGCAGGGTCACAAGAAAACCAATTTAAGCCGGTTTTGTTGGAGTTAACAAATGGTAATTGCCTATTTTGTATTCTCTCTTAGTTTGTTTGAAAATATCTAAAATTAACTATACTGAAATATGAAGGGAGTATTAGTTAGATTAATTATCGAATTTGCTCACATTTACATGTTGAAGAAAAAGAAAGAGGGTAAAATGGTACCCAGGAAAATCCAATATGGGCGCTAGATCTCTCTGTTTCAGTGAGCCGAGGCCGGCTTTAGATAGTAAAAAAAGAAAGACACGAAGGAAAAAAAACTGATAAATCCCAAATTACACATGCCCCCCCCCCAAATAAGGTAAATATGTCGCCTAAATCCTCTATCCACCCCTCAATTTCCTCTATAAAACAAACTGCACTGCTCCCTTGGTCCTCCAAGAAGAAAGGAACATAGAACAACACAAGGAGGAGACCTCGATCCGCACACCTCACGCCTGAAGGCCAGATCTAGCCTTCTTCTTCCTCTCGCCCAAGGACAACGATTGCCTAACATCAAACAAGAACCGAAGAAAACATAGCAAAACAGCGCGCACCACGCCGGCCACTTGCACGCACGTATAGCAGGACGCGCGCATCCGTGCATGGGGCTCCTGGACCAGCTGTGGGACGACACGGTGGCCGGGCCGCGCCCGGACTCCGGCCTCGGCAAGCTCCGCAAGTACGCCTCCTTCTCCCCCTCGTCGTCCGCATCCGTGGCCGCGGCCGCGCCGTCGCCGACCGCAGAGGGGGCGGCGGCGGGCTCCTCCGCGCCGCCCGCCGTGACGCGGAGCATCACCATGCTGCGGCCCGCGGCGCTGTCCGTCATCACGTCGCCGCGCAGCGAGTCCAGCTCCGCGCCGTCGTCGCCGTCGCCGGCCAGCGGCGCTCCGGACTCGCCCTTCGGCGCAGGTGACCGGCTCTCTCCATCTTCTTCTTCTTCTTTCAGTTCTTGCTGTCTGTGTGTCGTAGTTTCGTTTGAAAGGTGTTCCACATGAAACTGTCAAAAATCACAGTTGTATGCTCTGTTTTAGCGGGATTACGATATCTGTAGCCAATTTAGGCTACTTTTGGATAGCTGAATGGTGGAGATCCGAAACGAAGCCCCGCGTTTAACACCCTGCTGATGTTGTTGTATCTCTGTACGTTGCCATCCCTGATGCTGCAGCGACGACGCCCAAGGGAGAGGGCTGGAAGAAGCTGCGCCGGAAAGTCAGGATGGCCGACGGCGGCGATGCCCCCGGCACGCCGAGGAGCCCCACCGTCTACGACTGGTGAGTACTACTCCGTACCTCGCTTATTGTACGGTATAAATCGCCTCTATATACCACAGATTTTTCTGAACGTACCGTACCGTGAGTACGTGCTACGATGGTATAGGAGTAGTACGTGAAAATGACTAGGACATCCAATGAATCTTGCTTGGATTTGGTAAGATATCATCTGATCTGCGTGTCTCCGACTCCCACGGCAGGGTGGTGATCAGTTCGCTGGACCGCTGAAGCAGCCGGCCGAGCCCGGCCCAAGACGACAACTGCACAAGCAAACCATCAACAGCTAGCGAACTGCCGAACTGAAGGAGGATCTGGAGTTCTGAACAGAGGGGCCATATATATAACCTCTTTCAGAGCTTCTGGTGACGGTTCTGTTGTAGTATACGTTAACGGTGTAGTATGTCATCTTCTTGTAAATCTCCGTGTGAGGCCCTGCTGATTTTGTAAGCTGCTGCTACTGCTGCTGCTCCGTACTACGCTCGGCATCAGCTCGTGCATGTCACCGTGTACATGTATGCCGTTGTCGTCCAAGCCTTGAAGGGCAAGCGGGCAGCAGCAACACAAGGTCGTGCTGTGGCCAGACTGGCGAGGTCGATGTAGCAGAGTCCTACAGCACCTACAGTAGTGCTGAAGAGAGTGGTACATATAATACTCCTGTGTACTAATCCTGTTGCTGTATGAGTGGCTACACGCAGCCTCCTCCCCTGCTTCGTAGTTTGTACAGGGTACTCCAGTACGGTTTTTGCTGTGCCGTGTACTAGTAATGTAAAATGTATAATCCTACGTACGCAATGCAACAATAATGCGTGGTTGAGTGTTGTGGATATATCCAGTAACACGCTTTTGGCAACATCTTGGCTTGTCTACCACAGAAGGAAATATCTTATCATCATGGGCGTCGATCTCTTCGTTGCTTAGTGCTTTCCGGTACCAATAATTCAGTCCGTCCATCGCACTCCTGACGTCAAACCGGTGTGGAGTTTAGCTTCGATGCAATGCCACCGTGCTAGCTCTCATCAGTCCGGCTCGCTCCCTGCCGGTACGGGACGGCACAGCGTGTCAGCGTTGCTGTTGCCTGTCCTTTTCGTGAGCTCCCTTTCCCGCGGCCAAGCTTTGGCCTTACGTAGCTTTTAGGTGAGGCTGCTGCGTCTGCGTGCCCGGATTTCTGGCCTTCGATGCAGCTTACTCCAAGGGAGGTGTAGTGTAGTGACTCTGCTTTCTTTCTGCTTCCCATTCCCATGTGAATAGGAAGTGGAGTGGCTAACCTCGCCATCACGGCATCATTCATGTTATATATACGGTATCTCTGATTATTTCATGTAAGAATTCAATAATTTGGCAGCCTCTGTAAATATATAAAGGTAATCATACACACGCCTTTCAATTTATTTGACAAGTTTTTCACCCATTCCTTGAAACAGAAAAAAAACATTTAGAGTACACCAGCAATACGTCAGACATGATACTTGACCATACCAATAAGGAATGTTTTGGCTACATCAAGTAAAAGCTGAATGGCCAGAGCACTCTTCTCTCTTCTATCATGTCTGATACTTGACCATACCAGTACCATAACAGAGCACTCTTTACGTTGATGGCTTGATTAACTGGTTGCCAACTTATATGTAGAACTCAATCTCTCTTCTATGTAGTCACCACTCTTGATAGGTGCAAACCTGGAAAAAAAAAGAAGTGTCAAATTTCGATAAGCTAGCGAGGAAATATATAGACCAAACTTGTGTTAACATAACCAAAGCGGACCTTGCTGGATATGCCTCACTGCAGCAGCTTTCCATGCATTTCACCACTAGATTTGGGCTTGGATCAATGAAGAAAGCAACCTGATATAATAATATACAAAAATTGTTGTGTGAAACTGAAATGTATGTACTACTTAAGCTCTCTCCATCACCGTCTGGCAGTAACAATAAGCATGTAACTTATTGGTTGAAGTGCTCCGATCCTCTTAAAGCAAAGAATCAGAGGACGTAATAAAAGGCTAAAATTAGGATACTTAAACTCTTAGCAGAAATTATGAATTAAGTAAAAGTTCTTTGGTACTCACAGAATATCTCTCTTTCCCAACAGGGACAACACGGTGCAATGTAGATCTGCAGGTTGTAATAGAAGCGCATTAGCAGACTCTGGCACACGGCCTTTTGTTCTCGTAGGAAAGACATGGAATATAAATAACAAGGAACCAAAAGAATATATAACTCAATAACCTTTCCAATATATTGTATAAGTAACAGAGCTATCATATAGTACTACTCTACTAAGATACTCATCATATTAACTACAAGGTTGTATGCAAGATGTTGCCAATTATGGACCAGAACAAACTTTATCTAATAAATGGTTATATTTTATCATGCAACTTTGAAGAGTGGCACAGAACAATTTTTCAAGTTGCCAGTGCTCAGTGCTCACAGAGTGGACTTACACGGGAGAACATAAGTAATAAATGATGATACCTGAAAACACAGTTAGTCCACCTTTCTAACAAATCGCCAATATTAACAATAAGGGACCTACAATACAAGTAAACCAGAATAAGACGATATCATATATACTGAGCCATGAGAATTATATATCTACAGGGTATACAAAACAGGATTAAACAAGTTACGAAAACACAGCAAGCTAGGATATATTAGAGGGTAAAGCACTTGAAAATTTTGAGTAAATATGTTGAAAGGCTATTATTGTATTTTGGGATCGCTGTTCATAAAATCAGGAAATAAGTATTACCCATCAATGTGGTGAACATCTTCCCAGATCTGAGGATGTCTATCTTTTTCTCTGCATATCTACAAGGTACAAGTAAAAGATCCATAATTTTTTGACCGAACAAAAAAGATCCATAATTTACATGTGAGCATATAAAAAGAGTTATCGTGTTTCATCGTTCTAAGTGAATATAGGCATTTTTGTAATGATTACGTAAAAAGGATAATACTATGTAAATTCATCAGTCAGAACTTGTGAAAAAAAACTATGCCTGCAAGCCAGGTGTTCCATCTGTTGCTAAAAGGGTTAGCATTCCATAATCCGAGTGCGCTGCTGCACCAACAATGTCTTTGTTGTCTGGACCATTTACGTCACCTGAAATGCAATAATTAGGTTCTATTGCATATAACCTATAATAAAGCCAGAAAAAAGAGATGAAATTTACCTGCATAGTGTAATAATCGAATAAATGCTGAAGGGGGTTCAAATGCACCGTTCTTGTGAAAGAATTCAGCGTCAAGGTCCAAACTCAAAGCAATTAGGGACAATATTCTTTTGCCTGTAGTCCTGGAAAGGAAGAGCAATACAAAAGATAGAAATAAGAGTTCTATAAAACTACCATGAAAATGCAACCCTGAAACTTTTTTTTTTAGATTATGCAACCCTGAAACTTTGCGGTTGGTATATAGTACCACAATTATCAAAGGTATATTGTTTATTGGATACTCTCTCTGTTCGGGAAAGCATGCAAGCCAACTCTAACATAGTCGGTTGTCCCATAAAGCATGCAAATGTAGCTATCTAGACCAGGATATATGGTGGGCCCTATCTCAAAAAGCCTATAGATACAACAGAAAAAGGAGGAGAAGTGGTTCTATCTGCTCTCGTTGATCGATGACGGAGAGAAAGGGAGGATCAGAGGGGTAAATGAGTCTTATGGTTTTCTACTAGTGTTGCCGTGGCATATATATCCGGGTGGAGGGAGTAGTACAAAACAAACAGAACTTACAATGCATTTGCATGGTATGATTGCATAGTCTTTTTCCAGGAAGGGAAGAGTTCTGCAAATAATTTAGCTAGATGAGGATTGAGCAATCGTTTATTCTTTTGAAAAAAAAACAAATTAGTAGAATGGACATCCCATCAAACGATTAATGTTCATCATATATAAATGTAGAATAATCTAGAATAATGGTAATGGGTTGCCAGAAGAACACCTATCCTTGGTAGTACATGACAAATAAATACCTTCACAAGGCCACTGATTAATGTTATTCTCCAAATTTTCATCATCCATTGGGCCAATATAAAATGTCTCCTTGGAATCTCCTACATAAACTTATCACTTGTCACAATTGTGGATCTCAAATATATCAAAGAAATTTTAAGAAGTTATGATATCTTATGAACTCTCAAAAGTGTGTGGGCTGCGGTGAGGATGTGGGGAATGGATTTCACACAATTTGTTTCTTCTGTTTGGAAGTCACTAGTCCATCAATCGATGCTCCTATACGAGCTAGAAACTTAGGAAACATAAACATTTGAATTTTGTGTCTAATACCTACAAATTTATCATTTCACATTCTCTATATGATGTGCTTATTTTCTAACACAATACACATATAGGTACTTTGTAATCTTTATCTGGTTGTGATAAACTTATCTGTTACTCTACGTGTTTGTTCTAATCCGTATATCTATAGTTCTTCTTCCTCTGCATGACACCTCCATGTATTTTCAATGTGCATTTAGTTAAACTGTAGTTCTGGTGGTGTCTCATGACGTCATGAATCAAGAATTAGATTTTTAAATTTTGATCATGTCTGTAGCTACAAATATTTTATCCTCAAGTTACATTGAAACTCTTGTACTTACTATATCTTTCATTAAAAACTCTTGTTCAAGAGGATATTAATATTCAAGCCTAATAATCACTGTTTACTCCAAAAATATCAAAGAGCAGAAGGTCATAGTTGACTTTTGTATGCTCTAACCTCGTTGAGTGCTAATCAAGATTTTGAATTTTCATATCAAATAATTAATCGTGTAGTATTATTTTTTATAGGGAATGGAGCGGTTACAGTTATATTATCATTGAACATGTCATAATATTTCAGCTTAGATTTATGAATCATCTAAAAATAACAACTTATGCTCCCTCTGGTCCAGTTTATAAGTCATTTCACATAGGTCAAGAGACAAACTTTATAATCTTTGACCAATAATTTGGCTAATACATTTTAACTATTGTAATACAAATTTAATCCTATTAGACTCATAATAAAATATACTATTCAACAATCATATAAGTTTATAATCATAAACAATATAGTATAAAATAAATAAATGATCAAAGTATAATTTAGAAGATCATGTCATGTCAGAAGATGCCTTATAAATTGGACCGAAGGAAGTATAAATTATTATCATGGATATTCATAAAAAAATTAAACAATATGTTAGTGTATTATATAAGAGTCATTAAGGAAACATTTTTCATGATTGCTAAAACATAAATATCTATTTATGGCTTATGTATTCATGTTTATTTTAAATTAGTTTTTAATATTAATAGAAGTAGGTAATTTATAATTATTTAAACATCTTTGTATAACTATAAAATGTTGGTAATTTAGACGTAGATTTGAGGAGATATTTATTTTATCTTTTATAATGTGAGAAGCAATAACTTAGATGTCAATTTGTACATAGACTATCTATCATAACAGCGGGGGTGATAATATAGATGCAAACATAGGGAATTAGTTTAGAGTTTGATAATGTCATAGGTGACATAATTAGTAATGTACGTATATGTAAATTTAACGGACTCCTTAGGTAAGCTATCATAATGACAGCGTGGATAACTTAGATATAAAATTAGAAGTTGCTTTAATTGTTTTTCTATAATGGTATTGGTGGATAATCTATATGTAGATTTTTATGTTACTCCAATGGTATAATGTTTTTCATAACAGGGTTGTGTAATTTCTTACAAGGCCATGTTTAGATGTTGTAGTAGTAGGAAGTTTTAGAACTCATAGACATGCAGAACCATGGTTTAGAAATAAGAGGTCTAGAGTGGAGTTTATAAAACTTCAAAAGACTACTACAATTTAACAATACTAAGGTTTTCAAGACCTTTAAGCTTGTTAATTAATTACATCCAAACCTTTCGTGACACTTTAATTAAAATCAAATTATTTGTCAAACCATGGTATTTTTGTAAAACTCTAAAAGTATTTTGCATCAAACAGGTCTAAGGGGTCAATGTTGTTGTTGTAGTGGTTATGCTGCTTGATGTGAACTCCGATCCTGACCTCGTGACTCGGGGGAGTCGTCGACCTTCTCGGAGTAGGGCCAGGTGTAGCCCCTGTATCTGCTGTTCTTCCCCAGCGCCATCTTCTCCTCCATGGTCTGCTCGAAGAACTTGCGGCTGTCGGCGAACACCCGCTCCAGCAGGGCGCGCTCGATCCCGTGGTTGATCACGTAGAAGAAGCCGTACTCCACGCACGCCTGCTAGACGCTTTGCTTTTACACTGTGTTAGTATATATAGGCGTAGCTGCGCTATGAAAGCAGGAAACTCTTGCAGAGAAGCAAGGTATACGTATGACAAGGAGCGGGGGCTCGAATGCTCGATGGGACCTGGCGGATGGACTTGGCGGCGGCGCGACGGTCGGGGGACGCGAGGTCCACCACGGGGAGGTCCAGGCGGCGGACGGCGGCCATTGATCGATGACGATGATGTCCCCTGCTTAGCTTGCGCGGCCTCGATCGATCGAGGACGAGGAGGCGCACTAGCTAGGCTCCCCTCTGTGCTGCTAATGCTCTACGAGGGTAGAGGCTTGGCTGCTGCTGGCTTCACCTAGCTCCGGCCTGAGAGCCCTGAATTGCCTCCCCCACCGATCGATTTTATAGCACAAGTAGTAAGCGAAGCGTGCCCGTTTCGTGTTTGCTCGAGGCACGTCACGAACGAGCTGATACCCAGAGGAAAAACGCATGAGTACTCAAACTCTAAAAAATAATACGCATTAGTACGATCCTAGTGGATTATAGAACAGGGCACGCGATCCACGCTGACAGCGAAACATGGGGGGAGGGGGAGCATCATCGTCTTTGTGTGTCAACACTTCAACACTAGTCGTCGTCGTCTGTTCCCGGCCTCATGCGATCCACGCTGACAGCGAAACATGGGGGAGGGGGAGCATCATCTTCTTGGCCGGTTCGTTTCGTCACTGGTTCGTGAAGAAGTACTGTTTATTAGTTCGTGTGAGAGAAAAATACTATTCCGGCTGAAAATTTACGATCATTTACGACAAGCCACAGCCAAACAAACAGGCTATTTGTGTGTCAACACTAGTCGTCGTCGTCTCTTCCCGGCCTCACGGCGGGTGGGTCGTCAAGATCGAGCACGGCCCAGGCCCACGCTATGATTTGCCCGGGTGTCTCAGTTCGCGGTCAGCTGTACAGCAGCACACACGCGAGTATGCTGTATGCTCGTGTTGCAACATTCAGATGAACTTGCAAGTACTTGAACGACACGATCGAGTATGCGAGTACCAAATCGAAGATCTCATTGCAGGATCATCATAGTCAATGGTAAGCTGCTGGCAGTTACTAGTACTAAATATTTTTAAGGATCCTGCAAGGAGGGGTGCAACATGGGGACGTAGCTCATATGGTAGAGCGCTCGCTTCGCATGCGAGAGGCACGGGGTTCGATTCCCCGCGTCTCCAGTTTCGCTGCATGCGGTTTTTTCTTTTGACATTCCTTTGATAGAAGTTTCTCTCTCGTCTTAGGGCATGTTTTGTTCCTAAAATTTTTCACCTCAAAGTGTCATATTGAATCTTGCGGCACATGTATGCTCTACTAAATATAGACGAAAAAAAACTAATTGTATAGTTGGGTGAGAAATCGCGAGACCAAACTTTCAAACCTAATTAATCCATAATTAGATACTAATTACCAAATACAAACGAAAGTGCTACAATAGCCAAACCCAAAAAAATTTGAGAACTAAACGCGCCCTTACTCTTACCAAGTTACCAGACTCAATAACACAACTTCTCAGGCTCATCGTTTTTTTTCCTAAAAGTTGAAAGCATTCATCTGTACTATAATAAACCAATCAAAATTATACTAGATCTATCCACGAAAACATCCCTCACTGAGAGCCTCCAACCATTATGCATCCAGAAAAATGCACACAGAAATTCATCGCTATTAAAATCAAAGGCTAATAAAATACAAAAACTCATCCAACGGCTTATCTTTGACGTGTGATGCCAGCCTTCTCACCCCCACGCCCAAGCCCTCACGTCCGCGCCCCGCAGCCACGGTTCAAACACTCCGCGACCCCGATTCGATTCCCAGCCCCCACGTTGTTTTCCCTTCTTTTCGAGAAAACAAAGGTCAGAACATCGTCCTCCTTCTCCTTCCCCCGAGCGCACGCCACTCCCGTAGAAATCCCCACCCAAATTCCGTCCTCCCGATCCCCGCCCTTCTCGCCTAAATCGAGCCCTACCCCAGCTGGCGTCGCCCGTGCGCTGTCATGCCCGTGCTGTCCCCCTCGGCGGCCCGCGGCGTTGCGAGCCAAAACCCTAGCCGCTGCCTCCAGATCCCGATTCCGCAGGGAAGCAGGAGAGGGAGGGCCGCCCCGCCGCAGATGGAGCCCGCGGGGGCAAGATGGGCGCTTCGGCCTCCCGCCCGTCGCGGTTCGTTCTTGCTTCGGTGCGCGCTGAAATTATATGGCGGCGGCGGCCACGCCACGGTCCTCGCCGTCTCCGCCATGGCCGTCTTTGCCCACCGAGCACCCAGCCAAGAACGACGGGTCGCTGAGCCTGCTCATCGTCGGGGGCTGGGGCCACAAGGGGGAGTGCAACCAGTTCCGGGTCGCCAAGCAGGTAACAAGCATGTTCATCTCCCTCGGGCACATCTCTTCAGGAAACACGGAGGAAGGAGGCAGCAGCCGGCCAGGCGTGCGGGGCCCGCGCCCGTCCCTAGGGTTGTAGCAACGGCGGCCGACCGGCTCGTCCCCACGCCCGGGCAGTGGCCTGTGGTCTGCTGGAGCGGCGGCGGCCAGGGGGACAGCCGGTGCTCGCGCCTAGGCCCCTTGCGCGCTCTCCCGGCGGCCGGACGGGGCCGCGGTGGCCTAGATCTGCCACCCGCCGCAGCCGCTGCTGCGTCACTCAATCCATGCGACGAGGAGATTGGGGCGGAGGACGAGGAGACCCACTTCCGTGCGGCTACCGCTGAGTAACGTGCGCTCGTCTTCTGCTGCAGCACCACCCTTGCGCTGCTCGGATCTGATCCACACCTGTCCGCCGCTCCGGCACACCCCGCGTCGCCGACGCGTTGCCAATCGATGTGTTACGGTATTCAATGCGTGCCCTCCCAATTCCCACGCTCCATCTCTCTCTGTACGTGTGTTTGGTTCATGCGATGGATCCGATTGATCTGGTTCATGCTGATGGATCCAATTCTCTGCTTCGCATGCTCCAGTCCGTCGCCACAGGTCAAACTATTTTAATTTTGTGCTAGGTTGCTTGCTTTGTTTGGTAAATTTGCATCATTGCATGCATGGACACATGAGAATTAATATGTGTCTAGAATCAAACATTGATCAAGCCGAAAATACAAACAGCTATTTTTTAAGCTGAGCACAAAATTGCTAAACAAATGTCTAAATCGTTAATTTTATTCTTCATTTCTTAATTCGATCATATATTGTTTGGTTTAATTTCTTCTATTTTAGAGATGTTGCTGAGGCCGAGACTGAATCCATCAGCCACTGCCCACCAACATCAAGATTGCGCACCAGTGGATATGCCGCCACATGGATGTTGATGCGCTCTTGGCTTCATGGTTGCACACCACCGGGAACTCACCGTGGTTCGGAGGGAGGCCAGCCTCGCCATCGTCATGAACGTCGACCTGTTCCGCCTTGTCCTTGACCTGATAAGCGATTTCTTAGCCGATGGCAGTGGCGTAGGCGAGGACCTGTTAGTGTAATTCTCACGGCACTCAGAAAAATTTATCTCGGAATGTCTGGTTATTTCCTGAACATCTGCTTCAGTTTAAGGAACTCTTATGAAATTCTTGGGGTCTTTTACTTGTATGCCATTAAAAAAGATGGTCTAATCGTCTATGTCCCTAAAAAGTTTGATCTATCATCAGTGTCCAAGCTCGAAAAACTTTTCTCTCTCACGCCATTCTATCTATTTGCAGCACTAATAGTGTGAAATGTGGGTGGCAAAGGACTTGAATGCCCCTGGAACTTTTGTTTCTCATGTGCCACTACCTGCTGGGCGGCAACCTGATGGCTCTTGAACTAGGAAGGGGCCAAGGGGGCAGCGGGCACCTGCCTTTGCCGTCGGGCGGTCCAGCCGTCCAGGCGTCACGACTCCCGAGAGCCGTTGCCTCTATATAAGCGCCACCACCGCGGCAGTGCGGCACCACACCCCCAACGGCCCTTGCGTTTCAGACGCCGCAACGAAATCCAAGCGCTATCCAGCTCGGCGCCTCCCGCTCGTCCACCGCCATGGATCCGACCAGGCAGGGCCGCGACCCCTCCGGCCGCGGCGCCTACTACACCCAGCGCAGTTTCCTAACCTCCCCTCCTCGTGGCGACAGTCGCGGCAGCCTCTGCTTCTGGAGCAGGCCACGCCACCGCTGCAGATGAACCCGTGGCCGCATCAGGGTGGCGACATCGAGGACCAGAGCTCCACGCGCGTCGGCATCCCTACCGACAGCAACATCTCGAGCTACGACGCGCTCCTCAACTTCCCCATGCCCGACACCCAAACCTCGGTGCCGCAACGACCGTCGACGCCGAACTTCATCAGCAGCCAGAGGCAGTACCTGCCTCAGCATGGCTCCACCGCTCTCTTCTCCGTGCTCGGGTACGACGGCGTCTTCAACCCGCACGCCTCCGTCTATCATCCCTGGGTGGCAGTGGCAGTCTACGCTCGGCCCGCCGCCGCCCCCGGCTTCACCGCGTGGGGCGGCAACTCCACCAGCAACAACCCGAACACCTCCGCCGGTGTGATCGGTGCGCGTCGGGGCCCAGTGGCTGGCGCTCCAAACCGTCAGGCGCTTTAGGATGTCGAGACGAACCCCGCCCTTGCGACGAACCCGGCGAGCTCGGATTGGTTGGCCTTCCTGCTCGATCAAGACAACGGCGAGCTCAGAGCTCATCTGTGTGTGTTTGCTTTGCTGTTGTTTTGCTTTTGCATGGTGCGGGGAGATAGCTCTGAGGGTGCTCGTTAGGGTGGAGGCGCGGAACTTCCCCGAAGTACTGCAACAGCTATTCAGGTGCCTAATCGAGGGATGGATGATGGAACAGAGCAAGGGCCCGGAACTGCCTGAGCATTTCTTCGCCACGTTGCCTTACAGCTGTTGCTCGGTATGTAATGTAGCTACCCACAACAGCTCTGGAGGGCGACATACGTATTGCTACTAATGGCATTTTTCTGATGAACTTCCGTTTAGATTTTCACCCGTGAGCTCGCCATCCCCCGCTTCCGCGACATGGCCACGTCCTATTTTGGGGGGATGAGCGTGATGCTATGCCTGGAGAACGTGACGAAGCATGAGCTCGGCATTGATCTCGAGGACACCATCTTGACCCATGTCGTTGAGATCTCCAAGAAACAATACGGGTGAGAGCTAAGCATATACCATTACAGCATGAGTTCATTCACTGCGTGGTTCTTCTCGATCGTCACTCC